ACAGAACCTTTCATGAAATACTGCTACAAAGAACAAGCTGGAAAATTTTAAAATCAAAGCTCTTTCCCTTGTTACTGGAGATGTAAAAACAGCACCAATAAATGCTCTGCTACATTATACAAGTGATTGTATCCTTTCAGCTTATTTGAAATTGAACTGAGGTCTAGAAATTTTATTTTCCTTAGAGATGTAAACAAATAAAAATTGATATCAAATGATAAATGCTTGCATATGTTTCCACATGATGAATATGGTACCGGCGTCCTTGCTATTTTTAACTCAGTTCTCTCCCATTACTTCCATTCTGATTTTAGAAGCACGGCCTTTGACGGTGAGTTTGAGTCCATTCAAGCAAAACGTTTAACCCTAAAATATAGACCTCAAGATTTCTCAAGTTCTGCTTTCCTCTTAGATTTCTCCTTTACCTTTCAAAGCACAACGAATCAAAGTAAAGCAGTTCTATGCTTAAAAGTTCAAGAATGGTGATTATTACCCCATTATCTATAAGATACCCAAAAAAGAATCGTTCCATCTAAGAGGCTATACATACCCTCTCATTGTGGAATACCTGGGATTAAGTTAAGGTAGCGGATCAATTGGTAAAGAAGGGTATGAAAGTAGCTCAGAATATATCCAATAAAACATCTTTTAATACAACTTGTAGGGTTATGGACCACAAGTTTCTTTATTTGTAATGCCTAAAATAGCATTAAAAAGACTTTATAATATAAAATAATATAAAACAAGGACTTTGACAATTAACTTCGAGAGAGTTAAACTTTTGTTTCTTGTATTTTAAAATTCTGTTTTCCGAATTCTGAATCTGATATTGAATTTTATCTTTTTATGCTGTATTTTATTTGTATGTCACCTAAGGACAATTTCCCAAAGATATTTTTTGCACTCAATATTAAACTATAAAATAATTCCAAATATCATTATCTTAAATTTACGAACTGCTGTTTTTAAATGCTATTATACCCAGTAAACTAAAAATAAATAAATGAATGAATAAAATTGCCAGATGACTCTTACAATCACATTTACAGATTCCACTTTATCACATGACAGAAAATTTACAGTTAAAAATCAAAACGAATCTTTGCTTTCGGTAAGTATTTGCTTATACAATTAATTTTCCAGGAAGCAAATCAAAACACAATATAACAGAATTCAGAGCCGTACAGTAAATTAAATTAGGACATAAATAAACCAAAACAAACAAAAACATCTGCAGACTTCGGAAGGTATCGCGATGTTATTAAGACAAATTTTAACTATTCTGTATATTTAATTTCGCAAATTAAGAATAGTCAAATATTGCATGCAAGATCTTGCATGAGTAAATTGGCAGACTGCTTTCGATTACGCTAAAAGGGAGTATTTTACTTAATGCCGGATGCAAAGTTTTCGTGCAATGAAAACAATAATACCTGGTTTCTGATATTAAAACGAAAATCTAGCAAGATTTGATGTTTAAGTCTGTTATATAAAATTATGTTACTAAAATTCAAATTTTTCATCTTTAAAGTCTACGTTAAAATAAAATAAAGTGATATCAGCTCTGAATTTCAAATGTAATACTAGAATATAATGCTTTCTAAAATCTTCATATTTAAAAGTGATGACTTAATAGCGTCACAGACGTTTTAAATTTATAAAATGAATTGCATCACTTCCTCATGTTCGTAAATAAAGGGAAGATATCTAGTATTTGAAGTTTGTAAATTAAAAATCGAATTTTATTTCAGGTTTTCAAAGTAAAATAATTTGGGTTCATTATTAAGAACTTAATAAAATAAGCGAAAGCGTTCCTTCGTGAATAGTTTCTTTGCATTGACAACTGGACTAAACGCTTGGCTTTAGACAATGTATTATCTCGGCATTCGATATATCTTTGTCATACTTTAATTAACCCTTTCTGGCTTTAGACTTAAAGTAAGAGGCATGAGACTAATTGAATAAATTAATATTAGTTTTGGTTTCAATACAATAATTGAAAATCTTTAACGGTAGAGAAAATTTAGAATCTATCCCTTAAATGTAAAAATTTGAAGGCATACTTGAACATTCTGAAGGAAAAACAAATTATACATCACCGAAATAGACACAACATTAAAAGGTTAGAGGTATGAAATAAATATTTATAATTATTAGCTGGTTATATTATTAATGAAGTTTATTTTAAATTGTTTCAATTAGAAATATTGTTAAATAATAAACAATTAAAATCTCTATAAAGTATGTTTATTGCTTTATTATCTCAGCCTCTTAATCATTTACTCCATAATTTAATTTCAAGTATAAATTAAATATCATATATATTCTTTGTCGAAAATGGCAGTATTCGGAGAGCTAGCTATTAGCAAAACAACTATTCTGTATGAAGGTAAATGAAACATTTAAGCTTCAGGCACAGATAAAATTTGCAAAGTCCGCATGGATGATAAACGCGTAGTAGCTTAATGCAGCGATTCAAGAGTCTTGAAAGCATTTCGATAAAGACATATCTGACATTAAAAGAGAAATTTCTGAGATAGATAGTTTTAAAATGCAGTAGTCTTTAACGATACAGAATATGGGAAAATTTTAGATAGGACGAATTTTGTATCAGCGATAAAAATCATGGGGCAAAATTCTCAGAAGTGGTTAGTAGAGAAGATTGTTCACATTTCATGGAAATGACTTTTTATTTCAGTTTTCATCTTAGTATTTTGAGGTAAAGATTTGGCATTTCCGTTAGCATAGTCTGCTGTTCTTTCGCTTTGATCGGATAAAATAAGAGAATTGCAAAATAATAGATTTATTTTTATTTTTGGAAATGTCTGATAAAATTGACAAATGACTCAAAGGTTACATAAATGCATTTTCCGAATGCAACAAATTGTATTATGGTGTAAAAATTGTTGTTATCGGCATCAAACGCGGATCAAGAAAGTGAAGTCTCTGATCCTGAAAAATAATCCACTGACACTAAGATCCATTGCATCGGAATGAAATATATCTTATGGCACTATAAGGAAAATATCTATACGGATCTTATTCAAAAAGATTTGAACTTAAAAAGAAGTTTAAATCTAAAGTTCATCTACTTTAACCAAAATCTATTGCGGAAAACAAATTATAGAAAAATATATGCAAAATACTAATATATTAAAAATAAAACTTTGTAGTAACACTCGATGAAGCATGGGTATATTTAAGTGACTGTAATGAAAAAGGTAAGTTTTATTGCTCAACTGACGAAACTGACTGTCCGAAATGGCTACGTCAATGTAGAGAAAAGTTCCCAATATCAATCATGATAGTTCAGGATTTTGTTACAACAGTAAATTAAATTGAAAAAAAAATAATTAATTTTATCCGCGTAAGGCTAAAATTAATCCATTGTACTATCAGAATAGTATTTAAAAAAATATGTAAAGGAAAAGAATGTTCAGTCTTATATGTAAAGGACAACCATAAATTTGAGCTTCATATAGACAAAGCCTCTAGTTACAGGTCAAATACTGCTTATTTAGCAAATAAAGAATCAGAAAAGGAATAAAATACATTCCATTTAATGAAATGCCTATAAAATTCCCTAACGCTTCTTCTATGGGCTTAGCTTTCGGTTTGTTAAAATGATGTTTAAGATAACACCATCGAGGAGCACTGAACGGACTTTGGAAAATGGCCCAAGAAGGAATATGTGAAACATTGATGTAATGGGGGCTAAAAAATGTTTACTTTGAGGAAGAATTCGACCTATAGCCAAATCAAGGATATCAGATAGAAACAAATCACCGCAAGTTGAACTAATTTAAATTTAGTCAAAGCATGCAAGCTATCTGCATAAGTTTCATGATTATTTTTATCAAAATTTTGGCAAAAAAAAAAAAAAAAAAAAAAATATATATATATATATATATATATATATTATAAACAATATATATATATAAACAATTAATAATTTATATATATACATATATAAACAATAATATATATAATATATATATATAAACAATAAAATGAGCAAGACTGATTGCTTCTTTAAAGCGGCAATGAAACAAAAATTTTATGATACAAGCGACCTAATCTACACTTTGCCAGCACTGACACTACACTATCTCTGCCCACGCATTTGCCCTACAAACAAAGGACTGCACAATTATCTTGATGCTTCGAGCATTCGATGGGCTGTAGTTCGAATTAAATTCTATAAGATATTTCACCCGCCTTCTTGGCATGCCTTCGTGGTGTCGTAGTCTGCACGCTGGGCACGTATTACAGTGGTCCGTGGTTCGATTCCCGGAGAAGGCGTTGCTCATTTTTCACATCTCCTGCTTCCAAATAACCTAATGTCTCTACAGTGGCGCCCGAAATAAAAGGGTGGTGGATGATGATTCTCCCCAACCAGGATTTGGCGATTGGATCCCCTAAAAAAATCCCAGTCGCGATTTAAAAGGGGGAGTATATAAGGTATTTCTCCCAACTTCTGCAGTGTCTTCGTGGTGTAGTGGTCTGCACTTTGGGCACGTATTCCAGAGGTCCGTGTTTCGATTACAGGCGAAGGTGATCCTTTTTCATCTCTCTGGCCTCGAAATAACTTAATGTCTCTACAACCCAATGTAAAGAATTCTATTCCAAACAGATCCGGTACACTGCAGTGATTTTCCTACAAGACACTCTTACTAGATTTCTGCACCAAATTTCGAAAGCTATTTTACTGGCATTATAAATGAAGCTACTTTCAAGATTTTTTTGTGTCCTTGTTGAATTTTGTCATATTATCAGAAATGTAACCCTACATAATACAGACATATATAATATATATATATATATTTAATATATATATATATATATATATATATATATAAACATTCTAAGTTTTTTTAAAATCATCTGTTATCGCGTTACCTGAAAGATTTGATTAAATCCTCATCTGGAAGAAGAAGTAACAGCTGTTTTCATTCCCATTTGCATTTTGAGATAAAGAGCTATAAAATCAGAAAGAATTTTTAAAAATGTAGATGTTCCATGATCTCAGAAGCAATATGAGGACTTTCATTTTTTCACTTTTGGTGGCCGTAACATGGGCAATACCAGGTATGTTTCCCACATTTTTCATATTCTTAAAAGTTTTATCACTTATATTTTCTTTTTTTAACAATTAAAATCAGCATGCTGATACTTTCAACTTGCACCATTGAGCTTCCCAGTATTAGCTGTGGGTTTTGGGGTGCCCATTTCGTAAGGAAAAACCGGCAGTTTGCTTAAATTTTAGATGAGTTTGTTTGCTGTCTGTTTAATTTAAAACGGCAAAACACGTGACAGTTTACAACGGGATAGATGTCTCTGTCAAGGATCTGTTAAGGGAAATTGAACCTTGTTTATGTTACATACAAGAAAGCCGGGGAAAATCCATGCAGTGACCCGATCATTGATAAATCGCTGCTAGTTCGAATCCCAGTAGGATTCAAACTAGCATCGATTTATCAATGATGAGTGATTTTATCCGTTTTGCCACAAATTTTCGATACGAAGTTTTTAATTTAATTTTTAATTATATCAAAAAGAAACTTCTCTGACCATTTATATCACCATCGTCATCAAAATATATCCCTTCTAACAAAGCAACTAGCATGTAACGACCAACCAGCATTCATATTCATGAAGAAACCGAAATCCTGTTTTCAGATGCATAATTACACTTAAGAGGTAAAATATTCGATATCTAATTAATAGATAGGGGTTCGACCTTCACGACGGCGCAAGACCATCACTACCGTAACGGCTACGCCACAAATAGCAACTTCGTAGTGACGACAGCTAGCACGTTCACTACCAAATAGTGCTAACAGCCCGAGAAAACCTGATCCACCACAAAGGAATACTTGGAAATATATAAATATATATGTAAATGAATAAATCAAATGTATAAATAATGAAATATATAAATGATAATCTCAAAACTGCCTAAAAAAATAGCAAATGCGAGGTAAGAGTACACAATAGTTTATATTCGAGACAAGGTGGCAAAAGAACGGATCTGACAAAAATATTTTTACAAGCATGTAGTCTACAAGTGCATTCTTATTTTCATAATTTTAGATCTTCATTTAAATTAAAGTGTGTTGAAGAAGGATATAGCGAGCGATCGCCCATGATTTGGTGCAGAAAGTCGAGATAATTTTTCAAAAAATAGATATGATTTATGATTTCGTCATTTTCTAAAGAAGTACCTCCAGTGTTAAGAAGTGTTCAGTATGAAATTGTTAGAGAACTCTAAAATTATTGAAAGTTGGGCTCCTGCTTGGCACAAAGATAGTAGTTGAATCAGACGGTAGATTTCCATAAAGTTGGAATTCAGAAGCTGATGGTACGGTTCGATAAGTGCGATAATGTAGATAAAAAGTATACTGGAAAGTAAATTAAGGCCGGGATTTCGTGCAAATTTAAAAATTGTTCTTGTGTTTAAGTAATATCAAAATTTATTTACTCAAAAAAAAAGCCTCCTACGTATTGTAAGAAATTGTTACGAATTTGGTATTTAAAAAGCTAATGTTAGTTCAATTATAAATTAAATGGTTTTATTTCTCGCGTAGTGCAGCGCAATATTAAAAGAAAGCTAAGCCGGAAAATTGAAAATACAAGAGCGCGTGCATTAAATAAATAAATATCTCTTTTTGATTTCGAGAAAGTACTGGAAAATTCTAGCGCGTGATTTTTAAAATATTACAAAAGGAGGAAAACATCTCAGTTTGTAGTTGTTGCTTAGTTCGTTGTTGTTTAGAAAACTGCTCTTGTTGATTGTAGCGAATTCGCGGATTAGCGTTCTTTAGCTGTTTCGAATTACGTTCTATTGGACATTTGAGTAGTTAAAAGAAAACTACTGTGAGATATTGTAATACTGCGTGATAATTTGAGAAAATTTAAGCATTTTTGTTGTGATAATAATAAATTTTTGTTCATTTTTCATCGGACTTGTGCATTCATTTCATAACGAACCCGTACGCACGCAACAATATCATATATCCTTTTGTAGAACCTTCTGTTATTATTAACAATATTATTACGATCAATTTATTATCAACCGTAATACGTATAAATATTATGATTCTTCGATTGATCATATTTCTTATTTCAAAAGAATGCGAAATTTGTTTTCTTCATAAGTATGACTAAACTGCTTCTTTGCTTTGGATGGTCATCAACCAGCTCAGCTCACATTTTAATTACACACAGCAGACGGTGCAAACGAACACAGCTCGCATTACAAATTTAAGACTGATAGATATCGCGCGTTTTGGGAAGAAAGGACTGTTTAGTATCACAACCGCCGAGGAGTAAAGAAAAACTGGCAAATTTATTAGGTTCAGATCACTGATACAATTAAACAAACTGAAGTACGTTTATTAAACTAGACATCAGTTATTTAATTTCCGTCTGATAATGCTCCCAGTTTCAAACAGCTATTTAAAAATATATTCAAATCCATTTTATTAAAATTTTTAGACTCTACTTCATTTAATAAGCTACTTTTAACTAACTCATTTTAAAATAATTAATTTCAGTCAAAAAATAATAACAGTATATTATAATTTATCACAAATATATGATTTCTGAAATTTTTTTCTTAAATTTCTCTACTTCAAAAGAAAGGAAATTAAGTACAATGAAATCTAAATTTCAAATTGAAGGTTATATCTAGATTACTTATTCTGTATTATTTCATTTCTTCCGAAAAAATGTACGAAACAAATTCTTCAAATTTTGCAAATGTAATATTTTTGCAATGATTTAACACTTTAAAATTCATTAATTTTTCATCTCTCCTTAAGCGATGAAAAATCCGATGGTGAACGAAAGTCTCTTTGAAGGTGATATAATGGGCATAGATCCTAATACGGTAAGTGACTTGAAGCATTCTGTAGCATTAAAATTATATTGTGAAATTGAATTCAATGAGAAAAGTTATATTTTCGTATGCAATATTAGATCCTTTAAAAAATGAGTTTATGTTTTTCATAGCTTTATACATTCCTTTTCAAAAATAAATGAAGGAAGTGCATGTTATTGACGAATTAAACATCTGTAAATCCCATGCATAGAGCATGTGTAAATTAAACATGTGTAAATAACCTGAAATGATTATGATTTCAAAGTTTCTGAAAATAAATAGCTAGAAGCTGCATCTGCAATATTACGATTAGTAATTTATGAAATTTCAAGTAACTGTGATGCTTGTTGCTGCATAGGTATGCTAAAGATTTATAATGTCATTCTAAGATCAATTTTGCCTGGTTCAATTCTTAATTAAAGTCATTTCTTAATTAAATTCTTAATTACTAGTATGTCAATACATGTTTGAATGGTGAAATATCTGGGGACCTCCCTTGCCAAAGAAAAGTTCAAATGTACCATAATAGTGAAAAGTAACTAAAACATATATTGACTTATCAGAAGTACGTAACATGTTACCCAATTACAAAGCTCTTGGTAATGTAACATCTAATACATCAATTGTTATGTAATTAATATGGATTTATATATATTTAATATGTATTTAACATGTATTTGTGATTTTAGTAATTGTTATTTTCTTCAAAATATGGCTAAAGGTTATTTGTTTAAAAGTATGCCACATGGCTTCAAGGAGTGTGACACGGCAAATTAATTCTTTGTATACTGAAAACACTTTATTTATATATTAAATGGCAATAAAAAATCGAACTTCCTTTTATTACTTGAGGTGTGATGATATTACTCATCACTGCAAAAGAGTCCCCAGTGTGAAAAGAGTTTCACAAAATTTTATTCGGTTAACAGGTTAAAGTATCAGGTTCAATGTTTCTTCTAACCTTCTTCGGAAACATACAATGACCTGACTAGAACAGAGAGCTTACTAAAGCTATGTTCCCTAATTGTAGTAAGTAGACAGGATACAGACGAAGGGTATACAAAACCCTTTATTTTTTCTTTATATACAATGACTTCCGTACTTCGGAATACAATGACCCTCCACTCGGGGTCTAACTTAAAAGATATCAAAATAAAACTAAACTCTAATTTAACTTTAGAATAAGATTGGCCTTATAATAACAGGAAAGCGTATGTAGCACAGAGACTGTGAACACTACAATACGTTTAATTTATCAAGAGGATTAAAACCTCTGGCCTGGAAGGCAAAGTAGCAACTGCGTAACTTCTAAGGTAAGCGGCCTGCTTCGAACTCACGGCTTCCTCTCTTCTGCTTGGCAAAAAGGCCACACTTAAATACTTGGCGTTCGCCAGACAACTTTGCATAAACTCCTTCACGCTTATAATTCTGGCCGGAAGTAGAAAATAAACGTTAGTAAAACTTAAGATCCTTACATACTTCCCGCCAGAGTTAATTAGTTTGAAACTGAGGTCTAAAACGACCTTGTTGAAAACTTTTAGCTCTAGAAACTAACGCGAGGCCAACCTTTTACAAACATAACTTAGCTAGAAACTAGAAAATTTTAAAAGAAAGAAATTTGTTACAATAGCAGCTCCCGGAATATACAACAATCTTTTTTCTTTTTCATCTGTACTGCATCAAAACAGGAGCTTTATTCAATTCTGGTTCCTTCCAGAGATCTGGAAGGAAAACTAGTTTAATGAAATGTTACAGAATGACATTGCAAATAACATATAGAATATACTTTTCTTAACATTCTTATTTCATTCATGACTATTTTAATTATCTCTCCCCGTGCTCTCTGACATGTGTTGTAAAAACACCAAACACGAATGTGTTTTCTGTCTATGTGTTCAACACTTCCTCCTACAATCAAAACACTAACGTGTTAAAATTCAACATACGAGACCTCTTAACACACCCTAATTTCAACTCTAGACCCTGAGGTACTATTCTGAAAGTGGCTAACTCTAAAGTGTAGCGTCAGAGAGCCTAACTACATCATTCAACCTTTAACACATATTCACCATGATTTAATCTTTACAGTCACACGAATAACAAATTTTTTAACATTACTTTCACTTTTACCATATCACGGTATTTCTAAACATTCAAAATAACAGTTCACATGTATACAAGAACATATCAAGATGCCGTTAATTTTACACATTTGAAAACATACATTAGTAGTACATTGTTAACTTCTATTCTTTTCAAAGCAAGTGCCAATTCTTTCTACATTGAAATAATACTACATTTCAAAAAGTCTTTCAGACTAAAACTTCTTTCTTGTTAGAATGTTTTAAATAAAATTTATACAATAACTTTTTACAATATTTAAGTCTTTATACAACGCTATTATACATCAACTTTAGTTTTACGCGCGAGTAATTGAAAAACATAATAAGAAAATCGGTCACAACTCATTTCTCGCCCTTTTGGCGATAAAGGTAGACCTCGCATGAGGTAAAAACTTCTTGAAATCTGCCACTTGCAGTAAGAATGAAAGATTAACTTAAGTTTGTAAAGTAACATAAAATTTTACTTATCTTTGTAATATTCAGACATCCTTTTCTGGGCCCAGTCTTTAAAGGTGCTGCAGACCGTAGCTTGGTTGATCCTCCTTCTTGTACGGGCTCGCCCTTCAGTGCTTTCCTCTGGAAGCTTCCGTTTTTCACCACTACGGCCACCCTTGAACATCTTCCTTTCTGTCCTCTGCTTGTGGTCTTGGCCGTTTGAAGGCAGCTGGTCTTGGTGGAACCGGGAAACTTCTGTCGTGATCCTGCTTGGACCTCGTTGTTGGCCGTTCAAATTTTTCTTGTACTTTTTCCTCCGCCGCTGATGGCCCTTCCGCAGTTCGGCGACTTTTGCTGCGGAGAGTTCTGTCGGATGAGTCAATCTTCCGTTTCACAGCCGGGTTATAGTTGCCGTCCTTTCTCCCGGTCTTTCCACATACGTCGTCCTTCTCCCTTCTTCATTCTGGGGGTGTTCGTGAACTCTGAACGGTTTTTTTTTACCTTCAATTTTTCCGCGGGGCAATTTTCTTTTCACTTGCTTCTGTCTCTCATTGGCTTGCCCTTGTACTTGTCGTTTTTCCCACCTCTGGAACTTGTACCTGCGGTGTCTGCCGTACCGGATCCTGCAAAAGATCTGAAAAGATTTGCATTTTATTACGGTCATAGAAGGGTTTTATTCTGGTCAATGTTTGCGGAACAGGTTTCACCATTTCTTGCCTTTAATACTACAACAGCGTGAGTTATTTTTTCTATAACATATGGTCCTTCAAAGCGTGGAAAAATTTGGCAGTTTTATCTTCTGGTGCTGAAGAAAGTGAATGCTTAATTTTTTAGTACTTCATCCCCTACTTTATAAGTTACTCCCCGTCGTTTCAAGTCATAATACAATTTTTGTTTTCTTTGTGCTACTTCCGTATTCTTTTTTGCTTCTTTTATTAGTTTTTCTATATCACCCATTTTAAATTCTGGGGCTCTTTGTTGCACATAAAATAGTTTATCTAACGGTGTTATAACCTTTCTGCCTAGAAATAACTCAGCAGGAGTTTTGCCCGTTGTATCATGTTTTGCGGTCCTAAGGGCGAAAGCAAATTCATTGACATAGTTATCCCAGCTTTTATGAAAATTTTTAACATAACTACGGATAATTTTCACTATATTTCTGTTGACCCGTTCCGCTATATTTGATTGCGGCCGATACGGGACCATTTTTAAATGACGTATGCCCAGTTTTTGGCACATGTCTTCAAATATATTACTTACAAATTGAGGACCATTATCCGATATAACTTTTAGGGGCGCCCCGTATTTTAAAATATATTTATTTAAAATAGAATCGGTAACTAATTTCGCGGAGGCTCGTTTTAAGGGAACAATTTCGGTCCATTTACTAAAATGATCAACCTATAACAAGGAGATAGCGACTTTTGTTTAACTGACTTTTTGGGAAAGGGCCCAATAAATCGATGCCGATTATTTCATTTGGAAATTCGGATTTAATACTATTTAGAAACCCGGCCGGGCGGAAATTAATATAATTAACGGCTTGACATGTTGGGCAGGACTGGACATACGCCCTTGTTAACTTTTGCAGTTCAGGAAAGTAGACTGCCTCGCGTACGCGTTGAGTAGTTTTTCGAATACCAGCATGAGAAGCTAAAGGGCTGTCATGGAGCTCTTGCAGGATATTTAATCTAAGACTAGCTGGGATAACAGGTCGAAATTCGTTGTTGGAATTCGTAGTTTTTGTATAAGAATAATAGACCATCTATTAGTTCGTAATGGGCCGCCCTATTTCTTATCGCCACAATATCTTGGTGGCTAAAATTTTCAGGATCCTTCAAATACTCATAAATACTTCCAAACTCAGGATCCTTACCCAGTTCGGTTATTACAGTTTCTCGGGAATTTATTGTACACGCTGTCAGCATTGCAACTTTTACGGTATTACCCTGTTCGTCTAATTTAATTCGTGACAGGGCATCTGCTACGATATTTTCCTTTCCGGGGGTATGCTTGATTACCAGATTATATTCTTGCAGCTTGAGTGCCCATCTTATTAACCTTGGGGATAAATTTTTTCCAGAGTACAATCTAGTTACCGCCGCATGATCAGAATATACTGTTATCGGCGCCTTTCCAAAATAGACTCGGAACTTTTGCACTGCTAACAGAACTGCAAGTGCCTCTCTCTCGGTCGCGGAATAGTTTTTCTTTGTGTTTGATTTAAAGTTCGGCTAAAAAATGCTACTGGCTGCTGATTTTGCGAAAGTACCGCTCCTACCGCATAATCCGAAGCATCCGCTGAAATTTCTAAATTTTCATCCTTTTCAGGAAATTTCAACACAGGGGCTTGCGTTAATGCTTGTTTTAATTTTTCGAAAGCACTATTGGCTTCGGCCGTCCACGAGAATCTTGCCTTTTTTCCTTTTTAATTTTAACAATGGCTCAGCGATAGCCGCAAAATCTTTTATAAAGGACCTATAATATGAACAAAGTCCTAGAAAAGAAGAGAGCTTCTTTGCCGTGTTTGGAGTCGGATACTTTTGTACAGCGATTATTTTTGATTCATCTGTCTCGATCCCTTTTTGCGATATTTTGTAACCTAAATATTTTAATTCAGGGGCTGCAAATTTGCATTTTTCGACATTAACTTTTAGACCGGCCTCATTTAATAAAGAAAACACCTGTCTTAAATCCTGTACATGTTGGTCTAGATTATCACTAGTAATAATGATATCGTCTAAATAGATAAATGTGGACTTTCCGAGAACAGGTCTTAACACAATGTCCATGCATCGCTGAAATGTTGCTGGGGCGCCTGAAAGGCCAAACGGCATTCGCAAAAATGCATAAGTGCCAGACTTGGTTATAAAAGCAGTCTTAGGCACGTCCTCAGGCCTGATCCCTATTTGAAAATAACCATTCGTTAAGTCTAAAGTTGTCATAAATTTGGTTGATTTTATGTTCCTTAAAATTTCTTCTATAATCGGTAACGGATATACCGGATATTTCGTTATGGAATTTAATTTACGGTAATCAATAGCGAATCTCCACCTTTTTGGATGCTCCAAAGGATAATCATTATTTTTCTTACATAAAACCACCGGACTAGCATAACTACTTGAGATAGGCGTTACGATCTTTTTACGTAGCATATCGGTAATATGCCATTCTATAATTTTTTCCTTATTCTTATCATACCGGTATGGTTTTTGACGAACCGGCAATGCATCTCCGGTGTCAATACTATGGTTAGTAACCTGAGTAAATCCTGGAATATCACTAAATAAGGAAGCAAATTCACTTACCACTTGTCGGATTCTATCTTGCTCGTCATTAGGCAGGTGGTCGAGATTTAACCTTGGCGGTTCAACCTTTTCTACACGCACTGGTTTCATCGTCAGCTTAAGGAGACGCTTCATTAAAATCCAGTGTAGCTTGTGCGTCTGAAAGAAAGTCTATTCCTAGTATTAAGTGTGCTTGCAAATTCTTTACTATAAAAAACATCACCTTTACTTGTTCGTCCTTGATACGGATGTACAAAGGTACTTTACCTACGCACTTACATTGTTCTCCTTGCGCCGCTAATACTGTGTTGTATTATCCGCATTATATATGCGGTATTTGCGAAAATACTTTCTAAAAAAGACTTCTGCCACACAGGAACACTGCGCGCCGGTATCCAGGAGTGCGGTGGCCGGGATATTATTTACCAAGACTTCAATCTTCGGAAGAGTTAAATTTTTCACCATTACTGTATTTAACTTGTAGGAAGAGGGGTTTTCGTGGCCTTCGGATTTCCGCACCCTCTCGTCAGCAGAAATCCGTTTTAGTTTAAATTATTTTTTCCTTTCGGTGCTTTCCTTCTTTCTCCACTGGCCTTGAGACTTTTTTCCTGGGTTGCTATTGAACTGTCGACGTTCGCCGGCTGTTTTTGAATGCTCGGGTTTCCTTGCCCACTGATTCGCTTTTTCTCCGTAGCCATGTGCTTGAGTTTGCTGTAGTCTTGGCGTACCAAATTGGTTTCGCTGTTGATATTGGCGTCTTCTTTCGACGTCCGCCGTTCTTCTACTTTCAAACTGGATTGCTAGCTCAAATAATTTTTCCAGTGTAGTCGGATTTCTCAATTCAATAAAGTCTTGCACTTGGGGTAGTAACCTCGGCAAAATCACTTGAATTATTTCAGGATCCGGACGGTTTCCATACAAGAGCTTGAAAACGTGAATTTTTCTTAAAATAAAGCTCGAGAGGTTTTCCATTCTTTGTTGATATATACTGAAAAGTTCTGTTTCTAATTTCGCACGATCCCTTACAACAGGGAAGGCTTTTAGTAGGGCAGTCTTGAAATTTTCGTAGGTATAGGTGGGACTTCCTGCTTGACCCAAGAGACTTCTGCCGATACATTTGAACCAGTTAAGCGCTTGGCCCCTCAAAGCGCTGGTAGCTAAGGTAACTTTTTGAAACTCGTGCACGGGGTAGAGCATGAAGTGGTCATCCAATTTTTCCAAAAAACTGGTTACCTGTGAGTTTCCATTAAACGTTGCTTCTGGTTTCATCGAAGCGCGCATGGTCTGGACAATATACCCAAATCCTTCCAGGGCGGCAGCTGGCATTTCTGGATTCTGAGCTGTTTCTGCAGGCAGCACAGGTTCTTCTTGAAACTCGGCCATGGTTATTCTTCGTCGGGCGCCACTATCAGGTTTCAATGTTTCTTCTTACCTTCTTCGGAAACATACAATGACCTGACTAGAACAGAGAGCTTACTAAAGCTATGTTCCCTAATTGTAGTAAGTAGACAGGATACAGACGAAGGGTATACAAAACCCTTTATTTTTTCTTTATATACAATGACTTCCGTACTTCGGAATACAATGACCCTCCACTCGGGGTCTAACTTAAAAGATATCAAAATAAAACTAAACTCTAATTTAACTTTAGAATAAGATTGGCCTTATAATAACAGAAAGCGTATGTAGCACAGAGACTGTGAACACTACAATACGTTTACAATACGTTTAATTTATCAAGAGGATTAAAACCTCTGGCCTGGAAGGCAAAGTAGCAACTGCGTAACTTCTAAGGTAAGCGGCCTGCTTCGAACTCACGGCTTCCTCTCTTCTGCTTGGCAAAAAGGCCACACTTAAATACTTGGCGTTCGCCAGACAACTTTGCATAAACTCCTTCACGCTTATAATTCTGGCCGGAAGTAGAAAATAAGAAGTGATAGTAAAGATTTAAAATAAAATAAACGTTAGTAAAACTTAAGATCCTTACAAAAGTACGACATAAACATAATCTGATTCAGACAAGCGGGGCCAATTGGTGGAAAGTATTTCTGATGGTAGGTTGGTATGGCGAGATCCAAACTCCTGGCAAGCCGAAGCTCGCCTTATGGCTTTTCTAGATTGGTCACTATTTTTTAGTATATTACACAGGGCATTTTAGATGGTATGAGAGAAGCAAAAGCGCGGTATGCTCTGCACAGTAGGGATGCTGGAGCAGTTTGGGCTTATTGCACAATTAGAATCTTGCATCCCATTTATGCACCTTGGCCTGCTGGAGTCTATTTCATTGATGCATGTCTTGCGGATTTCACTCCTACCAGCAACTTTGCAGGGCCATATACGTACAATTCAAGTAGCGATCTTTTGCTCAATATGGGCAGCTAGCTTTGCACAGTTCAACCATTCGGCCCCCCTCATAGTCACCCAGTTGTGTGTATGACTATGTCGAAATTCATGACTAATATTCTATAAAGGAGACTCTGAGATTACATTTAGCAAAATTATCACAGGTAGATACGCTAGACAAAATTCAGTTTAGTCTATATATTCAATGGATTAAACGTTATCGTCTTATATAGGGAAAATATAGTTGTCAGATTCACCACAAGAAGAAATCGAAAGCTGAGGGTCTTTCAGATCTGCAAAATCCGTCTTTTTTGCTAATTATATAATTACTTAAAGATCATTCAAAGGACTAATAGTGGTTTTATTATTCTGACTCGAAACAAGTGCAGTAATTTTCACCTTACCATAAACAGGTAGCACATCCAGTGTTCGGTTCCCAGTAATAGAAAGGCTTCATAAAGTTTTCTCAATGTGAAACGTGATTAGAAGACAGATTCTCTTAATAGTTGCTTCATAAATGTTTATCCTTTCTATGGCAAATATCCAACAAGTACTTTGAATCAGTAAATAATCGAAAAATTCGTTGATACGTATTTTGCGTAATTCACTGTTGCCAGCAACTTTGTACGGCCATGTACGTACAATTCAAGTAGCGATCTTTTGCTCGATATGGCCAGCTAGCTTTGTACAGTTCGATCATTCGGCCCCTCTGAAAGTCATCCAATTGTTTGTATGATCTCTGGTTCTGTCTAAATTTATTACTAATATTCTATAAAGAAGATTCTAGGATTACATTTAGTAAAATTATCACAAGTAGATGCGCTGGACAAAAGTCAGTTTAGTCTCTATATTCTCTGAATATAGAGACTAAACTGAATACGATATCAATTTATAAAGGAAAAATATAGTTATCAGATTCCACACAAGAAGTATCATTCGACGCAAGAAGTATCATCCTTGCATTTCATGTTATTCTGACTCGAATGAAGTGCAGTCATACACCGGTAGCTCATTCAGTGTTCGGTTGACAATAAGAGTAAGGCTTCATGAAGTTTCCTCAATAAGAAACATGAATATTGAGCAATTTCACTGCAAAGTTCCGCCATAAGTGTTTATCATTTCTATTTCAAATAGCCAACAAGTACTATGAATTAGAAAATAATTGAAAAATTTCCCTTTGCCTGAACGCGTTTTGTTCATAAAGCATGATAAAGTAACAAACGTAGGTACAGAGAACACCCCATATTTTAAGATCAATCCTTGTCTAGACATAAATGTATCAGAATCTAAAGGTTGGCGTATTCAAAGTATACTTGAATTGTGAATCAAAGTTCTGAATTGCAAGAAGTTCACAAAATGCGTTTTGAGAACATAGTTTCTTTCTCTTTGTCTCTGTACAGTAAAATTTGGAATACTTATTAAAGCAAACTAATAGCATAGACAAATACATTACATTTTAATAAAGAAATATAATAATCAGTTTCAGTATTCATTTTCTACACAGGACAGAAATGCCATTCCAAGAGATTCCCGACGATGGCCCAACGGCGTAGTGCCTTACGAGGTGGATGAAGCCCTGTGTAAGTAATAATTCTTTTCTTGCCATTTTTTTTTTTTTTCATAAGTAGCGAAATAAGTCACCTCTTATTCAGAAGACCTTGCTTAATGTGATCACGATCGTCGTTAATGTTATCATCATCCAATTGGCAAAGTCCCACCCATTTCTATATAAAAACATAGTAAGTATTTCGCTTAACACGATCAACAATTCGGATAATGTGATCAAAGTATTATAGAATGAACTTTTCAAACTAAAGTAAATTCGCTAAGGCCAAAATAAATTACAAACTTATCAAATGACACAAACTATCACCAAAGGATTAATTGATCATCCATTTAAAACTAAGCAGAAAAGCAACCTTGATTTACTGTAAATTTTGAATAACAGTATCGATTTCGAAGCAGTTCAGGCACAAGTACAGTTTCTTCAGAGTCAAAAACTATTTCGACAGACTTTTCTTTTTCTTGCATCAAAAAATTTCTGTAAGAGTAGAGGTCGTCCCAGGGTAGAGGATCTGTCAAATAACTTCTAGAAATATTATGAACAGTTAATAAATGATCTAATTAATACTTGGAGATATTCTACTTGTAATGATATTCTAAGTAAAATGTTGTAGATAACATTCCTAAATAAAATGCTGCAAAATTATTTATATGTTTCTAACAAGATTTATATTAAATTAGTTAAGTTCCATTGTTAGTTTGAAAGATACCATTTTCATAGTTTAATCTTTTTAGTCGGCTAATATTATCAAAATAGCCGAGGACAAAGGACATTACATTATGTGACTTCTTTTGTAAAACACCACCAGCACGTACAAAAAACACATTTCGTTGACATATTTTTGCATATAATTATAAAGTAACTTCCAGTGTACATAAATTTACTTCGAACGTGCTGTCCAATTAATGTGGCAATCAGAACAGGATGTTTCCTTTCCAATCTGCAAAGGTTCCGATCCAGGTTAAAGCCCGGTCATTTGTTAAAGTCCTGTCTACAAGGACTTCACGCTGTTAAAATCCGTTGGTCTAGAAGTCTGTTTAAAACATCGGTAATAAAAGGGAAGACAGGAATCTCATTCTCTGAGGATTCCCAATTAGATCTGAAAACGGAACTAAGAAAAAGTCATTATTTTCACTCGTGATATTAATGATTTACATTCATGTCCATAAATTAAGGATAATGCAAAATCAGGCAAAGGAAGAGTTAGAAGCAAAAACAAATTTGACTTATTTGTAAAGCTTATTTATTAAACAAAACGTAAAGAGCAAAAAAGGATGCTATATGTTTGATATTATTAAAACAAATTAGCGATTTTTTCTCCCTGGAGCAAATTACAAAAAAAAACCTATTTACAAAAAACCAATATTACATGGTTGGTATAATTGTTAATACATTGTATGTCTCCCAGACGATGCAATACAGTCCGTACAATGCCTAGGCATGCTGAGTATCAAATTATCGATCTGATCTTGGGGGATATTACACCACTCAAAAAGCAATGCTCTCCGAAGTTCCGGTAGACATGCAGGAGGAGGTTAACGGGCTGCAACTCGTATGCCAAGCATGTCTCACACATGCTCTACTGGATTCAAGTCCGGTGAGAATGCTGGCCAGTCCATATGGGTGATATCCTCCGATTGAAGACATTCGCTGACGATGTTTGCACGGTGAGGACGGGCGTTGTCATCCATAAACACAAAATTGTGCGCCCATGGCGCCCCGAAACAAACGTACATGTTGTTCCAGAATGACGTCCCGATAGATTTGGCTTGTCATGGTTCCAATTTGAACATGTAGGTCAGTTCTGGAACCCAGAATAATTCCACCCTAAACGAGCACTCCTGCACCACCGTAACGGTGTCGTTCAATGATGTTTTCTTGGTGGTAACGGGTACCTTGAGCTACCATATGAAAGTCTGGCCAGAATCAGACTGCAAGCTAAACCTAAACTCGTCGGAAAACATCACACAAGCCTACTGTTGAGGTGCCCACAATGCATGCTCTCTACTCCAGGCTAACGGACAGTGAGTTGCAGTAGGTGGAACGCATCTGACAGGTCTACGAGCATATAGACCAATCTGCCCTAACCGTCTGTACACGGTCTGCCTTGAAATTGTCGTACCAGTGGCTGAAGTGAGCTGACGAGACAGGTCTGAGGCTGTGCTCCGCCTGTTTCTTTTGGCAGTAACTGCCAAATACCGGTCCTCATTCGGCGTTGTAAGTACTACTCATTCGGCGTTGTAAGTTGTTAACTGCATGGGGCGACCTGTGCCGTCTACTCACATTACCATCATCTTGGAATCGTTGCCAAAGCTTGGAGATGACACTCTGGGAAAATTCCAAGTTCGTCTGATACTTCCAGTTGGGTACGCCCACATTCCAGACGGCCGATAATTCTACGACGTAAAAAATCATCCAAATGCGTCCTTTGTGTCATAACTATTCGGTTATTGCACTAAAATGCTTATAAAGCGCCGGCGAACAATTTTTCTTCTTTTCCTGTATTCCTTATATATCACTCTCTTACACTCTCGTCATTTTTACGTACCATCGGTGTCATCTGGTTACTTCCTGAAATTTGCATAATATGATTCTTGAAGATGTGTGTAGTGATTTTACAGGTGATATGTTTATTTTAGAGTTCTATTTCCGCGTGACTCCGAATTATCCTTAATTTATGGACATGAGTGTATAACTGAGATAAATAGATGTATGATTTGTCCTTTTGGTACTTCAAGAGTCCCTCAGTTTAAGAAATCGACATAAGCGAAATAAAATTCAAATAGTACAGAAGCGTAAGAAAATATGTCATATACTGCGCATGCTATAACCATAGCTTAATTGTGCTTCGAATGAAAATAATAAATATTAAAAATAGAATGAAATAGAAATAATAAATGAGTAGGAAATTAAAGCAACTTATAGCACTTAATTTTAAATTTACATAGTTAATTAACGAATGTTATTGTAAATTAATGACCTCTTAAGCAGATAATCTTTAGGTGCTTTGGCATAATTCAGGAAATGCAAATCTCATACTGATATATTACGTAACTGACTTTCGTCATAACTAAAAAATCAACATGCATATAAATTATTGCATGATGTACAATGAAAATGTTAATGGCATTTTCATTGTACATCATGCAATAATTTATTTGGATGTTGATTTTAACTGCATGAGATAAGATATCATCTTCAATTTCCTCCATAACATTCTTTAGCAAAAGTGATAACTTTTAGTTTTACAATTAGTAAAATACGCAATCCTTTTCCGTCGGCAGTTTACACTATAGAAGTAATGATAAATAGTGTTTTATTCGAAAAAGCGAGAGTGGTATTTCGAGGATGAGAAAATATAATGACTGCTGAGAACTCAGGTAAAATTCGACATTCTGTTCCCAGACTCCGAATTATATTCATCCTTCATGTCCTCAAGTTGGGAGAATTGAAAAAAAAGTAACTTTTGCCACCGCCAACAATATCCTTTAATTCTACAATGTTCTCATTCCTATATATAGTGGAATCTATGGCATTCATCACCGCATGATGTACAATGAAAATGTTAATGACATTTTCATTGTACATCATGTGGAAAAAACGGAAACAAAACAAGATATAATTTTCACTAAAACAATATCAGATTAACAAACGTGAAAGAAAATAACTTGCTAATTAACTAAGCAATTTTCATAGAGGTAATCTCATGCAGTTATTTATTTTCCTTTTTCTAAACACTATTAGACTAAATTATGAGTAAAACTTTACAAAAAAATATTAATATATTAATAGCCTTTGTTAATTAAGTATGTAAATTTAAAATTCTTAAGTGCTATAAGTTGCGTTAATTTTCTGCTCATTTTTAATTTATAAACAGTTAAATTTCCTTTTTACATTTTCAACAAAAATTAATTCTTTCAAAAATATGAAATATAGAAGTAAAAATGTCTCTTTCTCCTTTTTGCGCTCCCAAATTATTATGTGAAAACGCATTTGCAACTTTTCAAACTCGAAAAACGCGTGTGTGCGATGTTACCGTCATGCGATGATTTTGTAGGTACTTTATTTTTTACTATGGTATTTTCGACGACTATGTTTTTAAACGGCGAAATTTTTTAACCGCTTTCTTTTCGACTACCATATTTTGTACCAGACGTTTTAGAACTGCGATGCTTTATTTTCTCCCACGATGTTTTGTACCGCGACGTTTTCGCCTTGCGTTGTTTTCGTCCGCGATATTTTTGACACAATGTTTTCGACGGATACAAACACCATAAGTATCAAGCTGTGCAAGAAAGCTAATAATCGCCTTAAGAGGCTTAAACTCCTTTTTGAATACTAGCTGGGTTATTTTGCTTGCTGTAACGAAGCATTGCTTTTAATACAAATAAAGAATGAGGTTAGATAGTAAGTCGAGCTCTATCTGAAAAGTTACAAAACCTATTATAATTTTAACAACATTCGTCATTTAAAACCATAAAATCCTGTTGTAATATAAAAAAAAAAAAAGCCACGGAATATTCAGACTTGTATAAATATCTGAAAGCTAACTAAGATCTGTTTGCCTTAACTTTCTCAATATAGTTCGATCGGTGAATTAGCCGACAAATACAATTTTACGGTAAAAACTCTTCAAACATTAAAATATATGTATAAGCTGAAGTTAAAATTACTTTATAAATACAGCTTTATATATCTTTAAATAATAGAATAATTTGTCATTCTAATATAGGCAGACTTATTAAACGAGCTGAAGATGAATGCCATAGTTTCCACTATATATAGGAATGAGAACATTGTAGAATTAAAGGATATTGTTGCGTGCAAAGTTTTTTTTTTTTTCAATTCTCCCACTGAGGACATAGGATATATAATTCGAGTCTGGGAAGATGTGAATTTTACCTGAGTTCTCAGCAGTCATTATATTTTCTCATCCTCGAAATACCACTCTCGCTTTTTCGAAAAAATTTTATCATTACTTCTATAGTGTAAACTGCCGACGGAAAAGGATTGCGTATTTTACTAATTGTAAAACTAAAAGTTATCACTTTTGCTAAACGATGCTATGGAGGAAATTGAAGATGATATTATCTGTGAAGCATATAAGAATGACGCTAATGATGAAACAGGAATCAATGACATTCACACAGATTTGCCTCCACCGAAGGAGAATTGCTTGAAAATTCCAAGTTATTTGCTGATATTAAAAACCCAAGGCCTTCGAAAATTCTCAGTGAGACACCGATACTGAAATGTTCGCTTAATAGATAAAATAAATTAAAATATAATATACTGCTTCAAATGATGTCATTATGTTTGAAACCGCTTTCATAGTTCGTAAGGAATGTAATGAAAATGCGAGTATCCTTATTAATGTTAAAATCTGCAAAGTTGTTTCCAGCGGTGTCTATATGAGTCCCACCTCAAGACATTTCTCCATAGCTAATGTTGTAAATTCTGTTTTACCCTAAATAAATAATTAGGATAAAATGAAATGACTTTAATATTTTCTAATCATTTAAAATATGTCACTATTTTTCTGATAGAATTACTTATAAATCATTTTGAACTCTTACATAAGCCGACCTTCAAATTTCAGTTGCTAAAATTCGCTAAAATTCTTCGGATTATGTATGGAAATATACGGGATTTCTAATTTTGCCTATTTTGTAACGTAGATCCTATCTGGAATCTTTTGATGAGAGCAATACGTCACATCGAAGACAGGACTTGCATTCGATTCAAGCATAAAACAGATGAAAAGGATTATATCCGAATGGTGCAATCTAATGGGTAAAAAGAACCCTAATTTCATTCTTACGTTACAGATTGTCCCACTCCCAATCATTAAGTCATTTGAACTGTAAAATGGCGGTTTTAAGTAAAGTATTTATTCGAAACAGTAATTTTAATACTGATCTTTTTTGTCTATCGGTTACAAGATACGGTATGGTAAAGTAAATGCTTTAAGATGATAATTTTGTAAAACAAATATGCATTTATGTAGATTATTACAAGAAAATAATATTAATATGAACGGATAATTCTAGATCGAAAACTTGAACACCATGTCATCTAAACATCAATTAAATGTAGATCATTCAGAGTTTTCTACGAGCTTTTCTTGACCCTCAGAAGAGAGAACAAGGCATCTAGAAATCCATCAATTAATGTAAGCTCACTTCGAGCATTCATTGGATTTAGAACGTTTGACGATGTGATTGTTAATGGTAAACAACCATAAAATCACACAGATGTACTAGATTTCTCTAATGTTTTTATCCATAGTCAAATAAAATCAAGATAATGCAATCAGCAGAAATGTTTTCTCACTTTTAACATAATATTCAATAAGTTTAGCATAGCATTCAAAAATGTACTTTTGAAATTGAAAATTGAATTCATTATGAGATAGGCAGAATGTTAAATGGTTTTGTCCAACTCAAGTTAACGCACATCTTTTGCAACCATTTTAATCAGGTTAGGGTGAACTATAATATTTGGTATGTTAGAGGTATGAGAAGTGTTTATTATATTTAGATCTAATGCAAGTTGACAAGCACTAGTATTTTCTTTCAGCCAGATATATAAGTTTCCTATTTTCATCTTAATCAACTTAAATTGAGCTTATATAAATATTTAAAGAGACGCTCTTTAAATTTAATCTAAAATTAATTAAAATGTAATTTAACCATACAACAGTAATGGAAAACCTGCAAGCTATTCAAGTAATGCCAAGACTGTTGAATGTTTCATACGGAATTCTTGTAGCACATAAATATTCCTGGATATTCCCTTCATTACACGCACTTTCAACGTAATGATGGTTTGGGGTCATCATTAGCAAGGACACCTGAAAGACTGATAAAATGCCTTTGCCTGTGTAGCGATGGCTTCTAAATAGAAACGTGAACTTGTAGTATATCATTTTCGGGACAACGTCATTACAGCTGTCATTTAGCGTTTAGTCATTTTACTGGATACGCAGCCAATAAAACAGCATTTTTCAACCCTGGAAAAAACAACTACCAAAATCACGGAAAGAGGCAGTGCAGCGCAATCGGCATTTCAAATAATGACAAACATTGGAAATATATAAATAGTCTACTTTTGCAAGCACTGCATTCGTCCAAGTTACAAAGGAATGCCATCATATTTAAGAGATCATTTATATTATTATTTTATTTTCATTTTAAAAACTATGGAAGATCACCTAGGGACGTTTTATTTCTAGTTCATTTTCACTGCAAAAGTGGTTAAACAAACTTCAGTCGTTACACTTATAATTTAAGCTAAATATAACCCGTTCCTTGTATTCTAATCTTAAGATTGGTAGTTCCAGGCCAAAGGAACAATTCATAATAATAAGACTATAACAACAACAGCAATCAATCAATTTACAGTAACAGTAATTAATGTATATGCTAGTTTTGTAAATTGCCTCTACTTATTTATGCTGCATAATTCAAAATTAAAAAAAATGTTCTGTCCTACTTTCTTCTCCGCAGATGCTGGTCGTTCGTGGGCAGATTAGGCAATGGTGAACAGAAATTGTCATTAGGTCGCGGATGCGAGAATTTTGGAATTGTGGTTCATGAGATTCTTCACGCCCTTGGTTTTTGGCATGAACAAAATAGGTCTGACAGAGATGATTACCTAATCATTAACTGGCATAATATTGACCCAAGTAAGTGAAATATTTTTAGTACCGAGTTAAGTACTATAATGCTACTTCCAGCACCAGTTTAATAGCCATTAACATGTTGTTTTAACACTGTCATAAACTATACGTTCAAGCAGATTTCTTCGAGGTGACCATATTTACAAAAGATCATCGGCTTAGAGAGAGTTATTCAGTTTATATTTTAAGAGCTGTATATGTAATGCTACACATTTTTAATTAGTTTCACTATGTATTTTCGAATTTATCTACCTATAAATTAGTTACAAGTGCTAAAAACAGGTAAACACCGATAACTCTTCCAGTGTTCCTTAAGAGGCAGCTGGATAGGCGGGCTAAAATTATTCTATTAAATTTATTCAAAATTGTAAAGCAAAACTTAGCATAACTATTTAAGGAATTGCATTCAAAAATTTGTGGCTTAACTATTTTTCGTAAGGAAAAATATTTTATTTTTAATTACCGGAAGAAAATACTTTTCAATCCTTTATAAAGATATCATTAGTCATACAATAATTTCGCAGTAAAAGAACTCTCTGGGACCACCACTCATGATTCCAGACTTTTGGTCTTTTGTAGAGGTAGTCTCATTAGAAAAATTGTTCTCAATTAGCACACTTTAGTTATTAATGCTACAGATTCGAAACAAATATGATTTCTTTGAAAAGGAAATATCTCATTCCATTTCGGTTCAATTTAAATTTCGCGTCTGAATAACTGTTTAATTTTTCAGTGGCTATAAATCTCTTTAAATACGATATATCATTGAATACTCTGTATTCAGATTATTTTCCTTAGATAAAATACTTTTAACTTGCAAAAGGTAATCTTCTATCCATTGTTTTTTCATTCTGTAGTACTTTTCAAGAGAATCCTTTTATAATTCTGTAAATGATTTAAAGCCGTTAACCAATTTTCAAAGTGAGAAATGGAGCTCAAATCCAAACCTAAAAATGTTTTCATAAAGCATTTTTGTTTGTACTCTGAAACATATATTTTAGAAACTTAAATCGAACAATTTGACTACTCAGCAATTTCCGCTCTTAATATATTCCCCCAAAATAGCCCAATGAGTGCTTTGCCATAATTAAATAACGTAATTTAATCTAAACATTGGATAAATATGCGACGCATGACAAAAAGTCTCACGTTTTGGCTCTGTAGTATGAGATAAGAAACTTGGGTAGTTGAAGTTGAATTTGATACATCGCATGTAAATATGTGCAACTTTTGAGATAAATATTTATAAAAAGATGATTCTTTTTAACCCACCATACGTTATTCATTTATTTATTATTTGCAGAGTGGCATTATGCTTTCAAAAAGTTAGAGCCTTTTGAAAATCGTCTCCTGACTCCTTTCGACTACGAATCCATTATGCTTTATGGTGAGAAGTCTTTTAGCATCGACGGAATTGGCAAGAGTATGGAATCCACGGACGGCAGGCACTTGCCGGAAGCCTACAACAAACCCGGGATGGCAGCATCAGATGAGAAAAGACTTAAAATGCTGTATAACTGTCAATGAACCAAAGCCTGTTTGGTTGATGCTACATAGCGCATGTGAGCTACAAGTAGAAAATTCTTACTGTATCATACTTTAATCGGTTTTATAGGTTGCTAATAGAAATAAAGACTTAATAATGTGATAATCTAAAGTAGTGATGACTAATCAGAATTGGCCTAAACCCAGAAAATCATAAATTCAACCAGCGGAAAGCCAAATTCATAAGGATTTCATAACAATTTTTATCATTATTTCATAAAAATATATATTAAAATACAGACATTATCTTGGAAAGCGTATTAAGTTTTTTAGAACAGGAAATGTGAAAAATTAAATATGCTCTGGTCGAGATTGGAAAAACGGATCTTTCACTGTTAATTGGGAATGCTGCCAGTTACCCACTACAGCAAGCATGGAGGAATGGGGGACTTCCTTGCATTCTCTCCCTCACTTAAGAGGCAAGTAGGGAGAAACACGAAATGCAGTCGACCAAATCCAAGTGGTGACGAATTACTGTCCATAATTTTAGTTTAGTCGATACTGTAGTAGCATATATATATATATATATATATATATTTGCTGTCAAATAGTTTGAGAAATCGATTATGCCTGCACCGGAATTCCAACTACTAATTATCCATTGCTAGCTTGATTTCCTTCTACTTAACTACAATAGCATGCACAGAGCAATCAGATAATTTCTTCTAATCAAATAACTTATTTAGATGTCCGATAAATAAGCATTTACTTAAGATTTACAACAACACGAATTTTTAAAGAAATATTAAACATGACATTTAATGGGAAAGGTGTGGTTTGATGAAATATCGTACCTATGATTTGTAAACCTGAGAATATTTGACAATGCTACATCAATTAATCTATTTTTAAATATCGATTTCATACCTGCATAGTAGAAAAAGTTACTTCACAAACATAAGCATTATCAAAAGTAAGTAAAATCCTTAAATGTGTAATTTCAAATTGACTCAGTTGACTATAGAATCAGATTTTCTTTTCCTGTATTGCTGGATCTCATTGAAGTTCAGACAAGTCTAAATATATTTCTTCTGGTTAACACTCTACATTACTTTCAAAGGATTTTTTATTAATTTCAAATAAGATATGAATACACTAAAAGTCATTAAAATTGCAGAACTAGAAAGGACAATACAATTAAGTTTAATTTACATATTTATTATAATATAAATATAAAATTATAAAAATTTCAGGCATGTTTGAAAGATGGAATGTCTTATAATCAATGCTAAATGAGAGCAGCATGAACAATAACCACTGCTACTATATGGCGATTATATAGTCGAAGAAACTTCAGATAACATTTTGGGATACTGCAGTCCAGGCAGCTGCAGCTTGTAGTCTTTATCATGCTAGTATATCCAGCAGTACGAAATATTGATATGCAGTACCAAATGTACCAGCAGTACCAAATGTGATAATACAGACCATGGTTTATTAAACTTTTACCGAGATTTTTTGCGACTCAAGATGTTACATATGAAATAAAGATATAAAAATAAATATTTTCCCATAAACGATTTGTTTCTTTGATGCACAATATACATATGAAAACAAATAGTTTAGGATTTGTTTGAAGTATACAAAAATTAATGAAAGAAAATAATATTTTAATAAGACGGATGCACTTATTTTTTGCTGCATAACAAACTAAATCTTGGTGCAATATTTGGTACTGCTGGATATAAAGCATCTTCAACGTATTTCAGCGTTGAAACCATGTTTGAATTTAACAAGCGTTGAAGCTGAAAAAGTCATTTCATATAAGTATGTGGTACCGAATGGTAGAAACACATTTAATGCCGTTACAGAAATTATGAAAATTTACTTCTAGCTCTCACACAAAATTTTTGCGGAAACTCAAACTGTAAATCGCTTGACAGCTGAGCAAATTCTTCTTGGGCTATAATCTCACTAATGTTAATCAGAGTTTTGTGAACCCATTTTAATTTTTCGAAATCAAAATCTAGTATAAAGTATTTGCAAAACTGTGTTTCTAGGGTCATAATATGATCTATAGAAATTTAGATTTTACAATTATTTTTTTCAGTTATAAAATTGTTGAGAGTCGAAAAAATTTTGAATGAATTATTTTCCACCCTATTCGTCCAAATATACTTTCTTTTAATAAAACCTTCAGTTCTTTAATTTGAAGTAAGCATATTGCTATCTTTTCTTTGAAAAAGCAAGTTGAAACTGTTTACTTTCTCAAAAATGTCTGACAAATAATACTGCTTTGATAGTTATATAATAAGTCATTTTGAAAAAGAACAGCTAAATCAAATTATTGTTTAGTTATAAATAAAATAATTTTCGTCTTTTAATAGCAAAACTAGCGGGCAAGCCCGCCAGCTGAGCGGGCTGAAGCCCGCTATATATTGCTCGTGTGTAAAAGAGTTCCCGTGTTAAATTTCCCCGGTATACGAAAGTTGGACCGAAATACCAGTGTTCACCGGTTTTACCCGGGCTGCGCTCGCTTAATTCACGTATGCATCGAGAAGATACTGCATACACGTTGCACATGCGTACAATCACGAAAACAACTTGCACCCAGCCCGCTTGGCGAAAGTTGGAACGAACTACCAGTGTCTAGCGGTTTTGGGCGGGCTGCGGCCGCTTTATTAAATTATGCATCCAGAATATACTGCATACAGGACACACATGCGGAAACTCAAGAAAACACCCATAGATCCAGCCCGTTGCCTTTATTCGAAAGTTCGTTCGAACTACCAGTGTTCAGCGATTTTACCCGGGCTGCGCCCGCTTTATTCGCGTATGCATCCAAAAGATACTGCATACACATTACACATGCGGAAAATCATGAAACATACATGGAGGCAGCCTGTTCGCCGAGATTCGAAAGTTGGATCGAACTACCAGTGATCAGCAGATTTGCGCTGGCTTCGCCCGCTCTATTCTCGTATGCATTCAGAAGATACTGCATACACGATACACGTGCGTGAAATCACGAAAATACCCATACAGACAGCTCTTTAACGACTATTCGAAAGTTGGACCGAACTACCAGTGTTCAGCGGTTTTGAGCGGGCTGCGCCCGCTTTATTCACATATGCGTCCAGAAGGTACTGCGTCCACGATACACATGCGTTAAATCACGAAAATACTTATGCAGCCAGCCCGATCGCCTTTATTCGAAAGCTGGACCGAACTACCAGAGTTTTGCGGTTTGGGAGGGCTGTGCCCGCTTTATTTAGGTATGCATTCACAATATACTGCATACACGTTACACATACTCAAAATTACGAAAACACTTATGGAGCCAACCCGTTTGCCGGGATTCGAAATTTGGACTGAACTACCAGTGTTCAGCGATTTTACTGTTCAGGCTTTTTGCCAAGTGTAACCGCAAAACTTTTCGGGTATAATATTCAAACAGTAGATTCGTTATTAAAACTCCTTTTGATAAACTTCAACATAATCACACACAAAAGTGCATCAATATTTATTAATGTAATTATCAACCTTAATTATTATATAAGAAAACTTTCCATATACCATGTTCAAGCAACAAAAATTTAATTTAAAATCCTGAACGAAAAAATAATTAGTCGGAATTTAAATAAATAGTTTATTTATATTTATATTTATTTTTTTGCAATTAAAATTTCTTAATTAAAATTATATTTAATATTAGCTTTATGCGAACAGAAACATTTGTTACCAAAAATACGACAGTATATATATTAATTAATGAATTTATATATAATAACAAAAGCAGTGAATGATTACGTAGCTCAGTAAGACAAATGAGCACGCTGATTTAAGCTATTAGAAATATTAATTTGTATTATTCAAAGTTGCTTTTCTTATTCAGATCCAAAAATCACAAATTGGTCGAAAAATGCACAAAAAATACTATCTCAACAACTAACAGTCCGATCGGCTCGAAATTTACAATCTTATAATTGCCAGATTTTGAAAAGAGGTTTGGTCTTTGTTCCAGAGAGATTGGCAAATTAGAAGATTAATTAGCATAATGAATAAAAATCCTCCACTACTTTAATTTCATCCATGGCGAATGGCCTTGACGATTCCAAAAGTCCTGCGGAAACCATCTCCCATTCAGCGACACCAGTGGCTTTCGAATCAAAGGCCGTCAACCAAGAGTTAGGAAGGGTAGATAAGGTAGTAGCGCTTTTTTAATGAACCTTCTAATTAGGCTTCTAATTAGCAAAACAGTTTACAATGAACGCCAACCTTTATTTGATCTTCCGGGAAATGCAAAATTCAAAATTTGAAAGAAATCGGTTATTTCTTTGAAAAGTTACGTATTTTTGTGCATTTTTCCGGCTCAATTTCTTTAATTAAGAAAAATTCAGTAAAATTTTGTATCTCGGGAACCAATCATGCGATCGGCTCCAAATTTAGAAATTTACAACTGATAGATGGTCAGATGAAAGATGCTCTTTGTTCTAGATTGATTGGAAAATTAGATCAGTAATTAGCATAATGAATAAAAAAGCGCCACTACGCTAATTTCATTCCCAGCGAATGGCCTTGACGATTCCAACAGTGGAGCGGATACCATCTCCCCCCCGACACCCGTCGCTTTCCGAGTCGAAGGCCGTCAACCACCAGTTAGGAAGGGGAGATAAACGTAGTAGCGCATTTTTAATGAACCTGCTAATTAGGCTCCTCATTAGCAAAACAGTTTACAATCGACGCTAACGTTCATTTGAGCATCCGGGAAGTGCAAAATTCAAAATTTGAAAAACATCGGTCGGTTAGATCGGGAGATACGTATTTTTGGTGCATTTTTCCGACTCATTTTGTTTAATTAAGGAAAATTCGTAATTTGGGAACCAATCATCCAATTTTCTTGAAATTTCGAAATTTTTAATTCTCGGATCTTCAAATGACGGATGCCGTTTGTCCCAAGTCGATCGGCCAATTAGACGCTTAATTAGCGACATGACTAAAAATGCTCCAGTACCTTAATTTCGCCCCTTCCCGCGGAGAAATGTCCCTTCAATAGGGAAAAACCCAACAAAGAAAGAGAAAGAAATGCCAAAAACGTAGGGAAAAATTGTAGTTTTTAATTAATATCTCGGCTAATTAAAGTCGCACGAAGATGACAATGGTCAA